GGCCCACATGGTCAAAACCCGAGGTTCGAACCAAAACCCGATTACCCATTCCCCCATGAACTCAAATATGTAAGTTATTTTTGAATCGGACCTCGAATTGAGGTCCAAAACCCCAATTTTTAGAAAAACCTAGGTTCTACCCTAAATTCCCAATTTCCCATTAAAATCTTTGTTTTGAAGTTTGAAATTATGTTTAAAGATGTTAAGGAGTAAAGAAAATGAGTTAGAAATCACTCACCAATCGTTTTGGAGTAGAAGAATCGTTTGGAAAATCGCCTCTTGTGTTTTGGGTTTTGAAAAAGTAAAAAATGACTAAAAATCCCGACCTTATATACCCCACTGAAAGGCTCAGCGCGGTCCGCGCAAAAGTGCACCGCGGCCGCGCTGAGAAGCTGGTAATCTACCCTCTCTGAACCCACCCAGCGCGGACCGTACTGTTTTGGTACGCGGCCGCGCTGGTCGACTTGAACCACTGGCCCTCTGAACCTAGCCACGCGGACCGCACAAGAATGCACCGCGGCCGCGCGGCTTCCACCGCGGACCGCGCGGACGACCGCGGGCGCGCTGGGGGCCTGCAACTCCCTGAACCTGCAACCATCTGATATTTCTAGCCTAAGACCTCCCGGGACCTACTCGAAACTCACCCGAGCCCTCGGAGCTCCAAGCCGAACATACATATAAACTCAAAATCATCCTACGGACTCATCCGTGCGATCAAATCGCCAAAACGACATCATTATCATCAAATTAGGCCTCAAGACCCATGATTTCCTTCCAGATTTTCATAAAACATCAAGTTTAGAGCTTTAAGTTCAAAACACGTCAAACGCGTCCAAATTCAACCAAACTTTACAGCAATTGCTTAAACCATATATGAGACTCGTACCGGGCGTCGGAACTAGAATACGAACCCGATACCACAGTCTTTTAATCAGTTTTCATCTCCAATTTCCTTAATAATTTCAGAAAAACCATGTCACAAAAAAGTTCATTTCTCGGGCTCTAGACCTCGGAATTCGACTCCGGGCATATGCCCGAGTCCCATATTTTTCCACGGACCCTCCGGGACCGTCAAATCACGGGTCCGAGTACGTTTGCCCAAAACGTTGACCGAAGTCAAACTTAATCAATTTAAATAACAAGATTTAACAAATTTTCTCACAAATTTCATATTTAAACTTTCTGGCTACGCGCCCGGACTGCGCACACAACTCGAGGCAACCCCAAATGAGGTTTCCAGGGCCTTAGAAGTACAGAGGGAGTAGGAATACAGGTGATGACCCCTTTGGGTCGTCACAATGCACTAAGTATAAGTGTATTAGGTAATATTATATCGAATATAGCTTATATGTATATAATATATAAACTTACGCTATACTATGCACTAAGTATATATATATATATATATATATATATATATATATATATATATATATATATATATATATATATATATATAGAGAGAGAGAGAGAGAGAGAGAGAGAGAGAGAGAGACTTACGCTATACTATGCACTAAGTATAAGTGTATTAGCTAATATTATATCGAATATAGCTTATATATATATATAATATATATACTTACGCTATACTATGCACTAAGTATAAGTGTATTAGGTAATATTATATCGAATATAGCTTATATATATAATATATGTACTTACGCTATACTATTCACTAAGTATAAGTGTATTACGTAATATTATATCGAATATAGCTTATATATATATAATATATATACTTACGCTATACTATTGTGATGACCCAAAATGTCATCTTTAAATTAAATAATCATCTCAGTGTTTTAAGACCTTGAAAAGTGCCATCAATAATTCCTCGACTTGCGTGCGCAGTCCGTATAATTTTCTGGAAGGTTTTTGTATGAAAAATGGATTAAATTATGAATTAGAGCTTTAAAACTCAACTGAGTTGACTTCGGTCAACATTTTGAGCAAACGAACCCGGATCCAAGTTTTGACCATTCCGGTAGTTCCCTATCGTAATTTTGGACTAAGGAGCATGTTCGGATTTGGATTTGGAAGTCCGAAGAACAATTCGGCGCATTTTGGCGAAAGTTGGAAAATAGAAGATTTTTGGAAAAGTTTGACCGAGAGTTGACTTTTTGATATCGGGTTCGGAATCCAATTCTGAAAATTTTCATAGATTCGTTATGTCATTTTTGACTTGTGTGCAAAATTTGAAGTCATTCCGGATTGATTTGATATGTTTCGGCGCAAAAATGTAGAAGTTGGAAGATTCGAAAACTCATAATTCAATTCGATGCGTGATTCGTAATTTCGGTGTTGTTTGACGTGGTTTGAAGCATTGATTAAGTTCGTATTGTATTTTGGGACATGTTGGTATAATTGGTTAAGGTCCCGAGGACCTCGGGTTGATTTCGGAAGGTTAACGGAATGGAAATCGGACAAAAAGGGTTGCTGGAATTTTCTGCAGAAGCTGTCTTGGACAGCAACTATGCAATCGTGGAGCTTATTTTTGGAAGCTTATATCTCGAAATCTATAAGGAATCTGGAAATATGTAAAACATGAACGTTGTAGCCCTTGCATCCTAGTTTCCAGAAAGCTAAACTATTAATTATTTTTATATTTGTATAGAAAGTTATGATCAATTGAATAAGGGTTGGTAAAGCTGTTTTAAAATTTTCCAGAAATGTTTGATGCTAGTAGGCTACTTTGGAAGATTATACCTCTAAATCCATAAGGAATCTGAAAATGTGCAAAACATGAAAGTTGTAGCCCTTGAATTCTAGTTTCCAGAAAGTTAAACCATTTGTCATTCCGACATTTGTACCGAAAGTTATGTCAGATTTAGTGAAGGCCGGGACTGCCTATTTTGGCTGGAAATAAGTGCAAGTTGCATTTCATAGATGCGACTTGCCTGGAAAACAGTTTATATTCCGGAATTAGCCATTTTTATTCATTTGTGACGATTGTAGAGCTCGGGAAAAGCGATTTTCAACAGATTTTTCAAGGGAAACATTTGGGGTAAGTGTTCTATATCCGAAAGTATTTATATTACATAAATCCATGGTTATTTTCATCGTTTATTTCGAATTTGGATGAAAGAAATTGAAGTTTTTGTAAAACTTTCCAAAAATGAAAATTTAGGATTTGAAGGTCCATTTGATATCGGAATTCGATAATTTTTGTATGGTTGAACTCGTATCGGAATGAGTTATCGGATTTTATGTGTTTCGTCGGATTCCGAGACGTGGGCCTCACGGGCAATTTTGAGCTAAATTTCGGATTTAATTTGGAAAATGTGTAAATTCATATGGAATTAATTCGTACGATTTATATTGAGTATATTGAATTATTATGACTAGATTTGAAGCTTCGGACGAATTTGCGAGGCAAAGGCTTATTGGAATTTTGAATTGATAGCAAAGCGAGGTAAGTGTTTGGTCTAACCTTAGCTTGAGGGATTAGGAGTTGTGTCATAATTGTTATGTGTTATTTGTCGAGTACGACGTATAGGCATGGTGACGAGTATCTATACGTTGGTGTCAAGCATGCCCGTGAGTCTTATACTTTGATTAATATGACTCCTATTTGACTTAACTGAAGAGTTTTGCCTCTCCTATTGTTATGTTATATTTTTCATAACTACTTGACTCCTGTTGATTTCCTTATTATTGACTTGTATATTGTGGGATCGCTGTTACGTGTTAGTTTTCTCGTTATTGAACTGTTTCCTTTATGCCAGTACTCTTTTCTGTGGTTATTCCTTTGAGCTGATTCTACCATTTTTCTCGTGATTTACAGCCCTGAGTTGATTTACTTATATTACCTGGTATTATTATCATTTGTTGTTGTTATATGTATTGCGTGATATCCGATCCTTCTATTGTGCTGTAACTGTTGATTCTGTTGGTTGCGTTGTGTATTTACTTTGGGACTACGGATGTGGGATTCCGGTAGCTCCCCCTAGTTTGTTTACTTTTGGGACTACGGGTTAGATTCCCGAGAGATTCCCCTGCATATTTACTTTGGGACTACGGGCTAGATTCCCGGGAGATCCCCCTGCACATTTACTTTGGGACTACGGGTTGGATTCCCGGG